GTCCCATACAGTTTTTGCAGTAAAGAAGAGGAAAAACTGACGGAATTGGAGGATATGGACATCATTGAGAGAGTGGAAGGTCCAACGCCGTGTGTCAGCCCGATTGTCGTCGTTCCTAAACAAAATGGGGACATCAGGATATGTGTGGATATGAGAATGGCCAATACAGTTATAGAGCGTTCAAGACACCCTATACCAACAATCGATGATGTGCTGAGCGAACTCAGTGGCAACGCTTTGTTTACTAAACTTGATCTTACCATGGGATTCCATCAACTGTAGTTGAAAGAAGGTATCTCAAGAGAAGTCACAACCTTCACGACTCATACAGGCCTTTTTAGATATAAGCGTCTAATGTTTGGCATTTGCTCAGCGCCAGAATTGTATCAACATGTAATCAACTAAGTTCTTCGTAGCGCCGGATGTACTGGATGTCAAAACATATCTGATGACATTGTGGTGTACGGCAAGGATGTAGCTGAACATGACGAAAGGCTGAAAAAGGTCCTACACACGTTGAAAGAGAGAGGTTTGACACTCAACAAGAAGAAGTGTGTCTTCAGGATGAATGAGATTGAATTCATGGGACATTTGTTGTCGGCGAAAAGCACAGGCCCTACAGAGTCCCGAGTAAAAGCACTCCGAGAAGCAAGGGAACCGACAGACAGCTCAGAAGTGAGGAGTTTTCTGGGCTTGGTGAATTTCAGCGCGCGATTTATCAGTGGCCTGGCAACGAAAGCAGAGCCATTGAGAAGACTCACACAGAAGAATACACCCTTTGTGTGGGGAAAGGATCAAAGGAAAGCCTTTGAAGAATTGAAGAATAGCCTGACGGATGTGGATACACTGGCGTACTTTAACCCTGCTTTGAAAACTAGAGTTGTTGCTGACACTAGCCCAGTAGGGCCTGGTGCAATGTTGTTGCAGGAACACGACATGGTCTGGAGAACTGTCTGCTATGCAAACAAAACCCTGTCTAGCGTTGAACGAAGATACTCGCAAACCGAAAAAGAAGCATTAGCCTTAGTCTGATCTGTTGAAAGGTTTCATGTCTACCTCTTAGGTTGAGAGTTTGAACTTGTCACCGACCACAAGCTCTTGGAAATTATCTATTCACCTAAATCAAAGCCTAGCGCGCGTATCGAGAGATGGGTTCTTCGGTTACAACCATATCATTTTCATGTCATATATAAACCTGGTAAAGAGAACATCGCTGACACCCTGTCAAGATTGCCACGCACAGATGAGGGAAAGAACTTTGATGACACTGAGAATTATGTGAATTTTATAACCGTGAAAGCTGTTCCAAAAGCAATGAGTGCGAAAGAAATTGAAGAAGTGGCATTGAATGACA